TAACACATGAATAACACATGAATAACACACAATAACACATGAATAACACGGGGAGGAATATTCCCCGTGTTACTGCGCCGTTTTTTTCTGCATCGCGCGGGATATCGTGGCGTGATTTCATTGGGTACGCACGTTCCTCTAAGTGCGTAGTATTGATGTAATATTTTTTCGGGTGGGTGGCCTTCGGAATATGGCACTCGAGAACCTGATACTGGAGGCGACGAAGGAGACCCAGATTCCAGCAACCGAAGACCCAAAATGGAGCGATAGCCCTTTGGTACTTTTTTCGCAGACGAATTAATGGGCTAGACAGCCTCCGGGATAGTAATCAACGGCAGTTCTACAGACTTTATAGCCTGAGAAATAATTGCAGACCACTAAGTGACCCAAATGCGGCTATTTCATTGTCTGTCTCTGCGGAGATGAAGAGTGATAACTACCCTTGTCATGGAAATATTAACCATTTAATAAAAACCTTGCTTTGTGGACTGATTGACTAGCATCACATGGTCACCTTCATAGCAGCTAGCGGGCACACTTACCTCACTCTAATTTTTTACTAGAAGGAAGGTAGAGGAGATGAAGCCATTGTGGGGTGAATTAGCCAAGGCCATTGAAGCTCAAAGCACTCTGCTTGCCCCGTAGTTTCAGTTACATCTATAACAACATACTGGACTAAGAAAGAAAGGTCTTCATGGAACTCTGGCCTCCTTTATGTGAGCAATGAATAGGAGTCTTTAACACCTAGAGAGAAGAGCTTCAATTATAGCCGATTTTTTTGAGTAAATACAAGAAGCCGAGCATTCTTCCCTTTGTTCTCTTCATTTCTATTCCATTTTTTTATTTTTCCTTTTATCACAATCATTGCCACTGAAGTGTCTTTGTAGTCGAATACATTTAATATCCGAGGCATTAAACTAGATGCTTGCAACTAGTCTTATTAGGAGTTTAACATTCCAGATCCAAGAGCTTCTGTTGTAGCCATTTTTATCGAGTGAATTATAAGAACCAGATTGTTCTTTCATTTTATCTCCTCTTTATTGTTATTCTTTTTGTCTTTCTCTCATTCGCTATCTCTACCATTAAAAATATCTTTGCAGTTGGGTTCATTGCATTAAACTCAATGATAACAACTGATACTTGAGGTGAGATTTGGATGGTGGAAGGTGAAGCTTTGTTGAAGATTCTAGCGATGCTCCGTTGCATCTTATAGTTAAGGCCTTCTAATGATAACAAGAGAAGTGGTGCCTTACTCCACTCAGCTTTATATTATAATGATGGAAATGAACAAAGTTTTAACTTTTTTTTTCCTAGTTAGGTTCCTTAGCTTCCTTCCACATTGCAGGAAATGGAAGGAATGAAAAATATTCCCTTTACATGACAATATTTCAATATGGGATTGATGGGGAGGAGATCATCACTAAATTTTATTGGTCTGCAAACCAACGAGTGTTTGCATTGTTGCCCCCAACAAGAATGCAATAACATAAGTAGGGCTGGTGAGGGTTGACTTTTGCTATATAAATAGTCTTGGAATGTTTCTCTGTAAGATTTAAGATTTCTTAACTTGATTCTGTCATTGGAGTTATCAACCCCGACAGAGCAACCTGTCGTTATGTGGGATTGGTAGGATGAGTATGTCAAATATTGGGATTTAGTCAGATACACAACATTAAGTTGTTTATTAATATCATAGGAACAATAGAGATGTGGGTTGCCTTTTGATAGTTTGGATGTTGGGATTATTACTAAATGAGTTACATAGATTTCGACTAATGAGGTTTCTTTGAGGATGAGGATCTTAAAGAAGAAAACAAAAGGAGGGAGGATCATAACAAAGAAAAGAGAGAGTGAGATGAGGTAGCTATATCTCATGCTGCTTGAAGACCATTCAAACATTTCACATGGAAACAACTTGCTCTTGGATTTCTTTCCTACTTCTCTCAAGGTGGCTATGCTCTACCCGATGCCAAAAATTCATTCATATCATTCTGCAAGTTGTTTATATGAGAAGTTGGTGTTCCATCTTAGGTAGAGCCTAAAAGTTTTCGACACAAAATATTTTTTCTCCATCCTTTTGTTGTATTATATTGAGAAATGATAGTAAGGAGTGACCACTAGTCAGTTGTAGAGGTGCAGGTACATAACCTCTTTCTTGAGGCATGACATAGTTGTGGGTAAACTACATGTATGGGAATTGCATGGCTATCAATGTGATATGTTGTTATTAGGTGGATTTGGAATATCCATTTGTAAGGCAAAAGTGGCTCTTAGGTATTACTAACTCAGTATCCCTGTGAAATTTTATGGCAACACTGAGTGAGTAACTCACTACTTGTACATCACAAATCCTTGGATTCAAAGACCATCATAAGAACTTAATCAGAGATGGCGATGCACCATGGAAAGGACACCTACATAGAAGCCAATTACTTTCTAACCCTCATAAATTATATTTAAAAGCATAAGAATTTCCATCAAAACTTTGCATGTTCTTTACGTTCTATTCTCACTTTATTCGTCACAATGAGCTCGAATAATCCATTATCTTTGATTTTGCATTCTTTGAATGAGATCATTCAAATTTGAAAGAAGAGAAATGAAGAGGATTCAAATTTGAATGAAGTGAAATGAAGAGGACACCTACATAGAAGCCAATTGTCACTCCAATTTTGCCTCCATTTTCATTTTTCTTTATCTTGCCATTAAATTAAAAATATTGCTTCTCAATCCAATTACTTTTTTGCCCTAAATGACAAACTTGGACGGATTTTGAGACTCACCCATAGTCAACATTTACAATAGAGAGCAAAAATGCAATTGATGCTTGACTAGAACCTTTCCCTTTGGACGGGGTGTTGATGTTCTAACCATATTGAAGACTCTTTTTAAGAGTGAGATAATGACCCATATCAAAAGTAGCCAAAGAAGTTGGTACCTCCACAATGTAGGCATCAATAATGCTATCTTATGACACCAACACTACAACTTCCACAATAACTAGAGCCTTCAAGGATAGGGCAAACGAATGCTCCATCACACACACAACTTTAATATTTACTATGATTAGTATAATATGGAGGAGATCCACTCCATTGGGTGAAAGTTAAAGTCAACTTTGATTACCTCATTGATCCATTCTTTCAATTTTTTTGGTTGTCAAAAACTTCGTTGTTGAAATTCTTATCCATATGAATATGTGCTTTGATTGAGACTTTTGGCTTATACTTTTATATCCAACTTAATGTTTTTGATTCCTACCATGTAATATTTAGAGGATGGAGTGATATTCTATTTTTTGGATTTAAATCTTCATAGGTTGACAGATGGACTTGTTTTAAAATTTGTCTCTTCTAATTTTGTTGATGGGAGGGATCATGTTCTATTTGTGAGGTTGAGGCTGATGAAGGAGAGGCCATAGAAGTCGATCTTGAAGGAACTTTAGGCTCACTTCAATGTATGATGAATATAGAAGAGGGGTAATCATAGCTATGGTAAACTTGTGTCCTGATCAAACATAAGGATGATGCTGTGTTACTTTAGGCAATTGGATAAGATATAGAGTATTACTGTCGATAGGTTTACATGGACTAGTTGACGGTCGAGAGAGATCAATTGTCATTCACTCTTTATGAATGTAGTGATCAGGAAGACTTAGATTATGTTAATTTTGACTTCAATTGTGACAACTAGAATTATTTTGGATTTATTTATTGTGGCTTATGTTTCTTTTTTATTTTTTTTTTGTTTGAATTTATAAAAGCTACTTTATGGAATTATTGAACCCATATTTGTCTTTGAATCACACTGAAGGAATAGAAAGTTAGGAAGGGGAGAGAATAGGAAGAGAGGGGGAGCGAAGAGAGAGCTAAGCAATTGAGTTAATTCTAATAGTGTGCAGTATGATGAGGGCTTTTCTTTGTCTGTAGTAGATAGAGAGGTCATGGGGATCAAATCCCGATTTACATTTAATACCCCATATTTATAGGGGTTGATCTTTATAAAATGATTCATTTAGGCCCATATCATCTTTAGACTGCTAGACATATATAGTTGTATTGTTAATCATATCCCTACTGGGGCTGGGATTTTGGACCCCCCCTCTTTCATACTCAATCTGTTAGAGCGACCTCCCGAACTCGACCCATGATTACTTGGCTAACTCTTGCTTGATCGTTTGAAGCTTCAAGTTGACCCTTTCATCATTCTGGGGCCTGGACTCTTCTATATGTCCAACTCGTACTGGAAGGCAGGCCGAGAATCATTCTGTCTTTGT